TGTCCTGAATGAGATGGGTAAGTTATAAAATAATTAGATAAGGGGGTATAGGGTTCCCTTGGCGAATGTCTCTAGCAGGCTGAAAAGTCCTAATAGTATTGTTAGTCCAGTTGATTGCTATGGAGGGAGATGTAATATAGGCTTGAATGGGGCTGATTATATCATATTTAAATTTATCCTCTTGAGGATATCAATGATGAAATTCCACCTAAGCTTGTCATAAGCTTTTTCTAAATCAAGTTTAACTATAATATAGCCACTTCTACCCTTGAGCTTATGGTAAGAATGCATTATTTCCAAGAGAATTAGGGAGTTATCAATCCTTTGTCTACCAAGGATGAAACTACACTAATTGACAGAGATCAAGTGGGATAGAAAATTCTTTAACCTATCGGCAAGGATTTTAGTAATTATCTTGTAACTCACATTACACAAAGAAATAGGTCTAATTTTCTAATGTACTCAAGGTTATCATATTTAGGGATTAAGGTGAGGCAGATTTCATTAACATCTATAATTCTCCTAGAATCTTGAAACACAGTTAGAACAAAATCATATGCAAATTGACCTACACTTGTCATTGGTTTTTAAAAAATAAAGCATGAACTCTATCAGGCCCAAGAGCCTTAAAGTTTTCAATATTGAACATGGCAGCCTTAACCTCATCTATGGAAACTCTAAGAAAGAGAAGCCTTACATTAAAATATCTCAAAGGGGGAAAAGATGACTAAGTGTGAAGTATAAAGTCCTAAGGAGTTAGGATCAATATATAAAGACCTAAAGTAATTTAAAAGTAAGGACTTTAAGGTAGAAAGATCATAAATCTAGTTCTAGTCATCATCTTTTAGAGTTTCAATTTGATTTTTATTTCTCCTACCTAAAGCAACTCTATGAAAGAATTTTGTATTTCTATCAACTAAGGACATCCAATTGGCTTTATATTGGTGATACTAATAAGTTTCCTCTTGATAAAAAATGATTTGATACTCTTTTCATAATGTTTTCGTGAGATTTGTAAGGAAGGAATTACTATCAGGGCCCAATTTCCTAAAGATACCTTCTATTCTATAGAGTAAACATTTTTTTCTTTTAGAAAATGTTACCAAACACAAATTTGTTCCAATTAGAAATATTAGTTTTAAAGTTGGTTACATTAGCTATTCAAGATTTATAAGGTATCCAATAATTCTTAACTTGGTTAGGGAAATCAAGATGGGAGAGCCAAGGGGTAAGGAACTTAAAGCTTTTATCATTCTAGATGGGAGACTGCTCATTGTGGATCTTAAGCCATATGCCAGAATGATTTAATTTCAAGAGAGGAATGTGAATAACAAAATTATTAGCAAAAGAGAGATGCTAAGAGTTGTTAACAACTATATCTAGCCTTTCTTTTAAGTTCCCTTTATGCCAGGTGAAATAGTTTCCTTTGAAACCCAGATCACAGAGCTCACAATGGAGGAGACAGTCAGCAAAGCTATTAATTGTTCTAGGATTAGGTGGTTTACCCCTTATTTTTTCTGTACTATATAATATAGAAATAAAGTCCCAGCCAGGGTCTAAGGGCAGCTAAGAGAAAACCTAAACTCAATGAGTTTTGCCTACCAGGCAACCCTATGATGTTCTTGCGGACTAGCATAAACAGAAGACAAAATCCAGTCTTCATGCCCAGCTGTTTTGACTTTAAGGTGAACGAAAAATTTTGATTTAGCAATTAGGGAAGCAGACACTTTATTACTATTTCAGAGGCACCAAATGCCACCAGAGTACCCAATGACATCCATTTTTTGGTATTTGTCAAAATTAATTTTTTGAATAACCTTATCAGGTTGTGTAGAACTAATTCTCAGCTCGAATAGGGCAATAAAATATAAATTATACAGGGCAATAACATCATTAACAAGTCTATAAAAGGACCTACCACCTTCCCCCTAGGTATGAGTGAGTGTAGTGGTGCGAGCATTAGTCTGAAATGGAATATTCTTAAAAGAATGAAGCTAGAGAATTGCACAGATAATGGTGACATCTTCTTCTAGCAACCCTTTCTCCTTTACTGAAGGAAGGAAGGAACTCGGCTTGAAAGTAAGTTGGTTAATCTTGTAAATAATTCATAGATAACAAGAGGGAGGACTTAGTTAGCATCCTTAGGATGTTAAGGAGAAGCCTAACTAGAGGACTTATAAGGATCAATAGAGCTAATAGTTGTAGCAAGATTATCTATGGCCATAGGAGGACCTAGGTTAAGAGGCTTTTCAGGTAGAAGTTGAACTGCAAAATCTTGGGCTTTCCAGGAATGGCTAAATTTATAATAGTAGGTCTTGGATGGATCCACCATAAGAAAGATTCTTGCTAATTTCTTTATTCATGATATTCATAATTGAAAAAATTTTCTTTCTGGTCTTGACCTATATGACTATGAGTATCTTTTCCAATGGTCTTGTCATTAGCTTGCATAGCCTGACTAGCCCCTTCTACTTTCTTATTAACATGTTCATTTTTAAATTTGGCTTCACCTTTAGTGAGTTTTTTTTTGAGGAATTTCCTTTAGCATTAACAAGTCTTATAATTTTTTCTGGCCATGGTCCTTGTGTACTTTTCCCTCCCTCTCAGTCCTATTTAGGTGTTCTAGAGCTTTTTGACGGTCTATTTCTAAATTATACTTAATATCTAGCTCTTAACTGCCTAATATGTCCAATCTCGATCTTGACGTTGCCTCTTTGCTTATCTCACTATGGACAGGAGGTGTTGTAAGGCTGTGGGGCGCTATCTTTTTCCTAACAGACCCTGTTCCTCATTTAAAATGCCCTTTTGAGTTATTTTATCAGCAACTTGTTTTGGCCTCTTATGGGATATATGATCCTCTATTTTATTCTCCTCAATATTCAATGGACTAGGGACAAGTTCAGTGGTAGCAGTTATAAGTTTGTAGAGGTTAAGGCAAAATTCTTGCCAATTGCCATATTTCCCATAGTGAAAACATATAAGATGCAGGCCCTCATACTCAACCTAAACTCTTGGGCTAGGACTCTGAAAGAAGGAACTTATTTTTTCCTAAGGTCTAGTTCCACACAAATTCTAATAAATCTACCTCTAGAAAGAAGAAAGGTATTAAGATCAATTTTAAGCATTAGACCTAGACAAGAACCAATTTGCCATAGAAAATTTTCATTATAAAATTCAAGAGGAAGGTGTGGGATACAAACCCAAGCATCTAATTTTCTAAATATATGGTCTTTAGGCCTAAACAGAGGCCTCCAATGCTAGACAAGGAGATAATGGTCTAAGATTAGCCAAGGCCCCTCAAATAGAATATGCTTATAATCCTCAATGTTATCAAAATGTACTAGAAAATAATTATTATTTAAATCTAAAATTTTTAAGGAACCATTCTGCCTCCAAAGATTGCCTAGTTTTTTATTCAAAAAATTGAAGCTTACATATTTTCTTAACAACTTAACTATTAGAGAGTATTTTCAAGGGAAACACCATTTTTCATAGTCTTTTAAGGGGAATTTCAGATTTGGACAAAGTATTTGGTCAGAGTCAGGAAAATCTTGTTCATCAATTTTTGGGTTAATATTTAACTACTCTAACACAAATTTTAACAATATCCTCATTGCCTAGTGTCATTTCTAAATTTTTTATTGATTTTTTTTTTATCTTTATAAGAAACCCTAGCAGAGAAATTTGGATTCAAAAGCACTTGATCATCCATAGCTTCTTGCTCACTTTCTAGTTGCATGTTTGCGTCTAGAGCTTGACCTTCTTAGTACTTCGGTCCATTAGGTCAGTCTTCTTGTTGGACCGCTTGTCCACTTCATGATGATCCATCTAACACTTTGCCTAGTATGCATCGAGGTTTCAAGAAGAAACCATCCTAGAAGGATCGCTTCTCAGAGCACTACTGCATTGAGGTGGGAAAGGAAGAAGCCAGGGTGTAAGAGAAACCCTACCAGAACCTAAACCTCGTTTACATAGTAAGATGCACATAAATTGACACCCCTGAAGCCAAAGAGGCTAAGGGTAGAAAGTCCTTGCAGAGCTGTCAAAACGCTTCTCTTCCAAGGACTTTTCTTTAGAAATCCTAACAGAGTGCATTTTATTATAAGTGCTATCAAGTATTTTGTTTTGATTGTTAGTTTTAGTTTGTTTTAAATAATATTTTTTAAATTTATTTTTATTTAAATTATTTATATAATTTATATATAACTTGTAAATTTCAATTTTAATTAATATTAGTTTAAATTTAATTTTTTATATAAAATTTATATTTTTATTTAAATTTTAAATAATTATAATAGTTATAATATATTAATATAATAATATCTGCATAACTGGAATGAAATACTAGTTGTATTCAAAATTAACTTGCATGTATAATTTATGAAAACAAAGTTTTAAATACAAAATATTTTAAAAATATTTTCGAACAATAATACTAAATATTATTATTTTGTAATTCTTTATTATTATATATGCCTTTAACAAATGTATAAAAAAATCAATAGAACAATGATGTAAAAAAAGACAGAATATAAAATTAAAAATTAAACCCTATAAAAAATGGACGATTCTATTTATTTTTGTGCCACTCATAATTTGATGACACCTGATCACGCGTGACACAAATGTCTTACCGGCAAGCAAAACGGAAGGACACGTAACCAAAAGAACAATTAACTAATTATTAATTTAATATCAAATACACACAATAAGCATAATATAAAATAACAGTTCTTTAATGTGCGGGGTCAACACACAATAAAAGATTTTATATATATATATATTAAAATTTTAATTATAAAAATAAAAATATTGAATAAAAAAAGAAAAAATAGGTGTCACGTAAACCGCAACAGATTGGAATAGTGTTTTAGGATCTCCTGGAAAACCTGCTATTGCTTTTGACCTTTCCGTCACTCACTCCCACAGTTTGTTATTCTTATTCCCTCTTTCTTTCTCTCTCTAGCATTTTCTCTCTCCTTCCAAATAAGCCATTTTGGTCTCTCTCTCTTCCCATTCTCTGTTTCTTTCTCTTTTTTTTAATCATTCATTTGATTATATTATTATCTCACAAAAACAAAACCCTAATTTTGCCAACACTATACTCTACTCTTTCAGGTGCTTCACTGTGTTTCCCAAAACTTGTGTTATTTACCATTCTGCCCCATTCCTCTGCATCGCAATATTTCGTTAACGACGTTGCTGTGTGCGATCGCGATGGTTTCGCGGATCTGCGTGTTTTGTTGTTGCAGGGAAAATTGAAAGAGGAGGAAGAAGATTTCATTCGCTTTTTTCTCTTTTTGTTTTCGTTTACTTAAAAGTGTTGTGTGGGGAATCGAGGGGTTCGAATATATGTCCTTCAATCAATCAAAGTCGGACAAGAACGACGCCGTTTACCGAAAATCCGGGCGATCCTCCAGCTTCAATCAGCAGAGAGGTTTCTCAGGCAAGGGTGGTGGTGCTGGCGGCGCCGGTGGTGGCGGGACCGCGCCGTCGATCAATTCGGCTTCGTCACTCTCCTCTAACCGGAGGTGAGTTTGGGGTTTGCCAATCTGCGTGTTGTGTGTTTGTACTGTTTTTATAATTGAATTTTGATCGGTGTTAAAGGATAGTATTGGTGGTGTGGATTCGGAAAATGTTTCTTTTTCTAATTGGAATTTGGATGCGTTTAAGAGTGTAGAGTTATAACTTAGGCTGGGAAAAGATTTATTTGCTGATATTGCGATGAAATATATTCACGTGTATGCATAATGTATAATATGTTATAAGTAATGGTTGTTCGTAGAATTGTGTTGGAGGGTGTTGATTGGGAATTGGATTTTTTTTTTTTGGGGTGTGAAATGTGGTGATGTGATGGATAATGTACGAGAAAAAATAAATGTGAGATTGTGATAAAATATATACGCGTGTATAACAAATTACAACTATAATAATTAATTTTTGTTTGTAGGATAGTGTTGGAGGGTGTAGATTACATTGGGAATTTTTATTGTGGAATTTGGATGCATTTTAGGGTGTAATGTGTGGGGTTATAATGGATGAACAAAAAGAAAATTAAATGTACTCATGTATTGCAAATTATGAAGTTGTTAACATATTTTCTTTTATTTTCTTTAAATTAAAGAGGAGCCAAATTCTTGTTCTTGTTGACAATTGGTTTGATGATTTGTTATTTCTTTTTCCACACCATTATTCGTAGTGTGGGTTTTCTATTTGTTTACTTTCTTCTGTTTTATTGATTATTCCTGTTGCTTGTTCTAGTTTTAACAAGAAGTCTAATAATGCACAAGGTGGGCAAACTAGGGTAAACCCTTCCCCAGTGAATTCGACAGTGTTCAACAGTGCTGCTGCTTCCCGGACCATAAATAATGGTACCCATGTACAGCCTCAACTACAAGGTAAGCTTTAGGAAGAATATTAGTTTATTATTGAAAAATTATTAGTTTGTTTAAAATGTAATTCATTCATTTACGTGATATGTTAGGAGCATCAGATGGGCCAGTTACAAAGTCATCTGAATCCTCAGCTGCACAGAGGAGTGCTAGAATTGTTTCAAAAGCTCCAACTTCTCAGCCACCCCCCTTGAGTTCTGATGCAGTTCCTCCTACAAGCCCTGCTAAGGGTATGTTAGTAAATGTTCTTCTTGAAAAGTGATTTTTCTTATTAGCAATTATTTCTGTGGTGTGAGACTTAAGTAATCTGAATATTTATGTCTCTTCCAGGAGATTTGTCTAAGGCATTCCCTTTTCAATTTGGATCCATTGTTCCTGGCTTTATTAATGGGGTGGCAGTAAGTTTCTGTTATATTAATTGATTAAAGTCTGGTGCATTACATATTTATGGAATTTTAGGGTGAATTGATCATGTTCTTGTTACTATATGCAGATTCCTGCTCGTACAAGCTCAGCTCCTCCTAATTTAGATGAGCAGAAGCGTGATCAGGTATGCAATTATTTCTTTTTCATCCCTTTCTCTTTAATGCTTTTATTATGATACAGCTACAGCCACGGCCTACACCTTCATAAGTAAAGAGCATTTTTTATTTTAGATTTTATTTTATGCACTTCCAGGCTTGGATAGAGTCTGAGAAAGGAGTAACCCTTGTGTTTGTAATACTTTGTCTAGTTGAAGCTGATATAGCTTGCTTTATGTCTTCTCACAGTAACAAAAGTTTTTGTTTGGTGTATAATTGCTCAACTTTCAGGCTCTTCACGACCCTTATAGATCTGTGCCTTCAGTGCCAATTCCTCCTGTTCCAAAGCATCAGCAACCACCTAGGAAAGATGCTAGTGCCACTGAGCAATCTAATGCTGGGGAGACTCATATAGGGGGGACTAAGGCAAAAAAGGATTCTCAGGTGTCAGCTTTGATCCCAACAAGCCAGATGCTGAAGCCTTCTGTTCCTGTCACTGGGATTTCAATGGCAACGCCATATCACCAGTCGCAGGCTTTACAGTTTGGTGGTCCTAACTCACAGATTCAATCTCAGGGTACATCAACGGCATCCCTCCATATGCCTATACCAATGCCTTTACCAATTGGAAATGCTACACAAGTACAACAGCCGGTTTTTGTTCCAGGTCTTCAACCTCATCCAATGCATCCTCAAGGGATCATGCATCAGGGCCAAAACATGACTTTTGCTCATCAAATAGGTCATCAGTTGCCCCATCAATTAGGCAACATGGGCATTGGCATCAGCCCCCAATATCCCCAACAGCAAGGAGGAAAATTTGCTGGTCCTCGAAAAACTACTCCTGTGAAAATAACTCATCCTGAGACACATGAAGAGCTGAGGCTTGATAAAAGAACAGATGCATATTCGGATGGTGGGTCATCTGGTGCTAGGTCACATCCTAGCATACCTTCTCAATCCCAACCTGTTAAATCTTTTGCGGCTTCTCATCCTATGAATTATTATCCTTCCAGCTCTTATAATTCCAATTCTCTCTATTATTCACCTTCTACTTCTCTTCCATTAACAAATAGTCCAATATCTCCTAATTCACAGTCACCAATATTTAATTATCCTGTGAACCATGGTCTGCAAAATGTGAGTTTCATGAATCCATCCTCACTTAGTTCCCTGCCTACTAATAAAGCTAGCACTCCTTCTGGCATTGTTGAGCCACCCATGCTGGAATTCTCTCATGATGTGTCTAATATGACGCCATCAGCTCCATCGGTGGTTGCATCTGTGACTATTAAGCCAAGTGGTATGTCTGCTGTTGTGGAGTCCAATTCCAGTATTTCTGGTGTTCAAAATGGAGAATCCCCTAGTTCAGCAGCATCTTGTGATATCAACTCCTCTGTGCCACAAAAAGGGCCTGAAATTTGTTCAGAAACCCCTTCACAACATTCTAAGTCATCTATTGCAGATTCTGTCTCAGTTGTGTCTAATAATGAAGGAGGGAAGGAATCTCTTAGTAGGTCCAACTCCTTGAAAGATAATCAAAAGAAACCAGGGAAGAAAGGTCAACCATCGGAGCATCAGGTATCTGGTTGAATTATTATTCAGATACACACACACACACACACAAAGTTGAATAGTGTTTGTTCTTTTTGGTATGTATGTGATCTTGGTGTACTTCAATATAGTGTGTACTTTTTTGCCTTTCCCACAGGTTTCTGTACAATCTCCGACAGTGGCTAATATGCCTTCTCGAGCTGTTGACCATGGTATATCTGATACTGGAGGTTCTGAACCTGTTGGAACTATAACAAACTGTTCTATGGCTAATACCGCTGAAGATCTTCCAACATCTGATACAATATCTAGTAGTATTTCTACTGCTGTTGAAATGAAGACCAATGAGTCTGCAGAAGTTTCTGCTAAAGGATCTGGGGCTCAAGTTGCTGACAGGGTGAACAATCATAAGCATGATAAGATAGATGAATTAGCTGGAGGTAAAGTACTAAAGCATTATGATGAAAGTGTTGTGCCATCTCTTTGATATAAACAAAATATTAACTTTAATGGGACATAATTGAAACAACCTGAAAAATATGCTGCATATGTAAGAGCTGAAGTGTTAACCTCAAAAACTGTATCAAAAGTACAGGATGAATCTGCATTGTGCAAGTTGTATTGCAGAATGTGACAGGACAGGTGATAATTTAGGCACATCTACCACTACTGCATTGAATTATAGAAATTTACCTTTTATTAGAAGTGATAATGTAGTTACTAATGCATATGTTTTTGGAAATGTTGCCACCTCAGATCTGAAGCCTACTGATCTTCCGGAAACAATGTCAAAGCATGTAAAGGATGGCTCAGAGAATGCTACCAGTGATTCAATGTCTCTTTCTGTGTCGGGTATCAAGGACAGGCCAATTATAGAGCCAAATAAGGTGAAAACTGCATCTAAAGGGAAGAAGAAAAGAAGAGAGATACTTCAGAAAGCAGATGCTGCTGGGTCAACTTCCGATCTTTATAACGCATACAAGGGACCGGAGGAAAAGAAAGAAGCTGTCTTAAGTTCAGAGAGTACAGAAAATGTTTCTACTTCTGGAAGTTTAAAGCAGTTGTCCAAAGATGCTGCTCAGTTAGATGCTGTAGCAAGTGAGAAGCGTGGTCACAAGAAAGCTGAGCCTGATGACTGGGAAGATGCTGCTGACATGTCTACACCCAAACTGGAGGTTCATGATAAATCTCAGCAGGTTAGTGATGGAAGTGGAAGTACAGCCAAAAAGTACTCTCGTGATTTCCTTTTGAAATTTGCAGATCAATTCACTGATCTTCCTGAAGGTTTTGAAATCACGGCAGACATTACCGAGGCTTTGGTGATTGCCAATATTACTAGTCCTCATGTTATTGAGCGTGATTCACATCATAGTCCTGGAAGAATTGTGGATAGAGGTGGGATGTCTAGGATGGATCGCCGTGGGAGTGCAGTAATGGAGGAAGACAGATGGAGTAAAGTTTCTAGTGCTTTTCATTCTGGACGTGGTTTGGATGGTATTGGAGGCAATGCAGGATTTCGATCTGGCCAAGGAGGCAATTTTGGTGTTTTAAGGAACCCTCGTGCGCAGGCACCTATGCAATATGCTGGAGGGATCCTTTCTGGGCCGATGCAATCTGTGGGAAATCAAGGTGGAATCCAGAGAAATAGCCCTGATGGGGAGAGGTGGCAGCGTGCTGCTAGCTTCCAGCAAAGGGGTTTAATTCCTTCTCCCACCCAAACTCCTTTACAGATGATGCACAAAGCTGAGAAGAAGTATGAAGTGGGTACTGTAACAGATGTGGAAGAGACAAAGCAGAGGCAGTTGAAAGCTATCTTGAACAAACTGACTCCTCAGAACTTTGATAGACTTTTTGAACAGGTAAAAGCAGTTAATATTGACAATGCAGTTACCCTCACTGGTGTCATCTCACAAATATTTGAAAAGGCTCTGATGGAGCCTACCTTCTGTGAAATGTATGCCAACTTCTGTTTGCATCTGGCTTCTGAGTTACCTGATTTTAGTGAGGAAAATGAAAAGATAACTTTTAAAAGGTTATTATTAAACAAGTGCCAGGAGGAATTTGAGAGGGGTGAGAGGGAACAAGAAGAAGCAAATAAGGCTGATGAGGGTGAGGTTAAGCAGTCTGATGAAGAAAGGGAGGAGAGACGAGTTAAGGCAAGAAGACGCATGTTGGGAAACATCAGATTGATTGGAGAACTATATAAGAAGAAAATGTTGACAGAGAGGATAATGCATGAATGTATCAAGAAGTTACTGGGTCAATGTCAGGATCCTGACGAGGAAGACGTTGAAGCTTTGTGCAAACTAATGAGTACTATTGGGGAGATGATCGACCATCCCAAAGCCAAGGAACATATGGATGCATATTTTGAACGGATGAAATTATTATCAAACAACATGAATTTATCTTCTAGGGTGAGGTTCATGTTGAAGGATGCCATTGATTTGAGAAAGAATAAGTGGCAACAAAGGAGGAAAGTAGAAGGTCCAAAGAAGATTGAGGAGGTACACAGGGATGCTGCTCAAGAGAGGCAGGCCCAAGCTGGTAGGCTGGGTCGTGGTCTTGGCAACAATCAACCGGCAAGAAGGAATCCCATGGATTTTGGTCCAAGAGGATCACCTGTGCTGTCTCCTAATCCTCAAATGGGTGGAGTGCGTGGTCTGCCTAATCAAGCACGCGGATATGGTCCTCAGGATGCTCGATTTGAGGAAAGGCAATCTTATGAGGCTAGGACTTTGTCTGTAACTTTGCCTCAAAGACCTGTGGGTGATGATTCTATAACCTTGGGACCCCAAGGTGGTCTTGCTAGGGGAATGTCTATTAGAGGATCAACAGCAATTTCTAATTTGCCTAACTCTGATGTGACCTCAGGTCTTAATGGTTACAGCAATTTATCAGAGCGCACATCATCTAACTCTAGGGAGGATCTTGCGGCAAGATATGGTACTGATAAATTTTCAGGTCCATCTGCGTATGATCAATCAAGTGCTCTGGAGCGTAATATAAACTATGGTAACAGAGACTTAAGGAATGCAGATCGGAATCATGACAGACTTGTTGCAACCTCACCTCCTGGCCAATTGCAAGGGTCAATAGTCTCCCAGAATGCTTCTACAGAGAAGGTTTTTCCAGAAGAAGGACTGAGGGACATGTCCCTGTCAGCAATCAGAGAATACTACAGGTAATATTTTTCTTTTGGTGGTGCTTTTATCCTCCTGTTTACAGTTTTTTGTGTCAGTTGTACTCTTGCTGAGAAGCTTGAACCAACACCTTGCTATATGTCGCTTTTAGTAAAATCCTTTGTATGTTAGAAATGTTCATTTTTTCTGGGCTGGGAATCTTGTTTGTCATTTTTGCTTGAATTCCTCTTCCTTTTTTTTTTTTTTTTCCTTTTTCAAATAAGGCAAATTATTTCCCTTGAGATTAAAAGATTTTTTGGTTCAGGATATGTGTTGTGTGAAGTGAGGCCTATGCTCCCTTTCGATGTGTATGTTGGACTTTCAAAGCATAGGATAAAAGCATGAAAAGCTTGAGTTCCTTTATTCCTTTAAAACTGAAAATGATGTTCCTTGAATATTTATATCAAAATTAGACCTATGTTAGTTTCTATTGTGTTAGTAAACAAAGAAACATGGATGTTGCAGATACAGATATGCGCATTAGACATGATGTATTACAATACATTAATAATAGGATACAAAATTAACAACCAAGATTTATCTCATTAGATGAGGTTGTCTACATAGATTACACAATATTATTGAGTTTAATAAAAAACTAAATTCTCAGAAATATTTTTATCATCAGATCTATTTTAATAGTTTTTTCTAAAGTTCTTCTGGGTTAAAGACCAAATCCTCAAAAGTAATAGGATAATGCTTTAAAATTACAAGATACAGGTCTGTCAATGTACAATAAAAAAAGAGGGTATGCCGAAAACACAAAATGCAGTGGTATCATGAATAACAGTATCGGGTACAGACACCACTAGTTTTGGAGTTTCCGTGCATCACACTTGATAAGGCTTTGATTAAATACTCATGAACTGTTTTCAATTTTCTATTTAATATAACAGTAATATGTCTTAGTTGAGAGAAAGAGGACAAACATAGATGTGAAATTTCAAATGCAACTTTTCAATTTCAGAATATTATTGGTTATTGAGATCTATCATATTGGATAGATTTGGTTATTGATATTTGTCTTGAGGGGATTCTGTGTAGTGTGTGGTTTGACCTATTCTTTCCAACTAGTGAGGCTATTTTAATGGCTGGCTGAATCTTTATACATGCAACTTATGATTTTTGGTTTATTTTAATTATATGTTAGAATTCCCATGATAAGATGTGGAAGGAAAGATAAGATGTCATTTCTTGGTATTTTAATGAAAACAAAAACCTGAATTTGTGGGATACAGCCTAGATGAAGTTGAGTTGATAGTTGGGGACTTGGAGGGAGAGTGGTAGGGTTTGATCCCCATTAATACTCTCCATCATGATTTTTCCTAGGGTCCCACTAAGAAACCTTCTAGGGATCCCTCTGCCTGGCCCACATGTTGTAGCTTTAGGCCTTTACCCCCAAAAGAGTTTCTAATAGCCGTTGATATGCTGTTTGTCTCCTGATATGTTAATATGTTATGGACATTGTCACCAGAGGCTCAACTATGTGTGAAAAAGCCTTTTGTCCCTATTCAGGCAGAGATATCTGAGAGTTGATCATAAAAACAAGTATAAACGTGAATAAGGTTGTGTCCAATTTATGGGGATTTTGTAGAAATGAATTTTTGCCTTATTCTTCTGTTGTGTTCACTTCTTCAGTTTATCTGATTTAGCGACATTTTGGGAATTAAAATTGTGTTAGTACCGTTTTTGGGTAGCTCATGATTTGATTAATATCCATTCCTTCGTAGCTTCTAAATTAGATAAATTCATACATAGCCCTAAAACTCCAAACATGGAGGCCAGGGTACAAGTTCAACACATTAAGGATTGAAGTGGAGAATGGGAATATGGAGGGATCAAGGTTTGTAATACTAGTCATTTAGGAGTATTTGAAAGAGCTTATGAACAGCTTATGAAAATAGCTTATTACTTTCATAAACTCTTTAATTTATTTCAATTAGTTTATTGATATATCTTATTATATGAAAATAGGTTATTTTCGGCTGATTCCAATATGTTTTATGATCAAATTTATGGAATAAACTCGTGTAAAAGAAACTTATTGATCAAGTGCTTAATTAAGCTGTATGCCCAAATAATGCATTCTTACATGATTGTATTATTAAAATAAAATAAACAGAAGTCTCACAGTAGTCATAATTTTATCATAATTGGTTAAGGTAGTGGAATGACTCTTTTCTACCCTCCATGTTCAAAGTGAACATGGCCTAGTGAATGGCGTGGGAGTTTTCCCCATCTTTTTTTATTATTCATTGGAGGATTGAACTGTCTTAACTGGTTTGAGTTACTGAATTGTCCTCCTCTGTTTTTGTTGGTTTTAGAAAGGTGATTATGCACAAAACATATGCTGCTGCAATAGAGTGATTTTAGTTTTCTTGTGGATTTGTCATGATCTAGTTTTAAATGTTATGCTTATAGTGCTGGGTTGATGGTGGCCAAATTAAATTCTCAATGTATGCTCGTATGCAGGCGGATGTGTACTAATTTATTTTTGTTAGTGTTATGCAGTTGAATTTTTTTTCCCACTTATCATTTAATCATCTGACTGATGTTTATGCATATTTCAGTGCTAGAGATGAGAATGAACTTGCTTTATGTGTCAAAGATTTGAACTCTCCAAGCTTCCATCCTTCTATGGTTTCTCTCTGGGTCACAGACTCATTTGAGAGAAAGGATGCGGAAAGAGATCTTTTGGCCAAACTGCTTGTCAACCTTGTGAGGTCTCAGGATGGCACCTTGAGTCAAGCTCAGCTCATCAAAGGGTGAGATTTACTTAACAATGTAGTGAGTAGCAGAGAGAATTCATTTATTGTGAAGACACTTACCATGTTATTTATTCCACTTTTATGCTGGCTAGGTTTGAATCTGTTCTCAGTACACTGGAGGATGCAGTTAATGATGCCCCCAGAGCAGCAGAGTTTCTTGGCCGTGTTTTTGCAAAAGTTATTACCGAGAGTTTAGTAACTTTGAATGAGATTGGTCGATTAATACATGATGGTGGAGAGGAGCCAGGTAGTCTCTTAGAAGTTGGACTTGCAGCTGAGGTTCTTGGAAGCACTTTGGAGGTAATACAATATGAGAAAGGAGACACTGTTCTAAATGAGATTCGTTCAAGCTCTAACTTGCGTTTGGAGACTTTCCGGCCACCTAATCCAATCACATCAAGGAAGTTGGAAAAATTTATTTAGATGGTAGTGATGCTCATTGTATGCTTTTTGTGTAGAGGGGAAAAATTTATTTGGCTAATGCTTTTTTGAGGGTACTCTATTTGCTGAGAATGATTTTCTCCGTGAGATGGGTAGGTAGAATTTTATACATGGGATTTTGTCTTAATATTATTTTTCCGACATCTTCACTGCAATTGTAAAAGGTTCAATTGAGCATCACAAATTTTAGGCTGAGTTGTTATGTCTGCTTGATGACCTTCACATATTTCTTTGTAGATATAAAAGGTTCAATGAGCGTCAAGAATATTCGTATCTCGTTCTTATTTGTCTTAATGTCGGACAAATGAAAGCCTAAAATTTTACTTGGTTAATAACACTATAAGATGATTGAATTTCATCTTTTGAATGTGATGTTAATATTTGCATATAAGTTTTAGACTATAGTTATATTAGACGTATGTTAATTAGTCTTTTATTTGTCTTATTATTTGTATATTTGATTTATAAAAGAATGACTTTCATTACAATTTGATTGATAAAATTTAATATTTAGAGTTATTAAATGGAGTTGAAGAAGATTACTGCAAATTATATTAAATGGAGTTGGATAAGATTACTGTAAATTATAGTCTTTTTCTAATTTAAAATTAAAAGTTAAGTTGGAATAACTTACCCAAGTCGCATATGAAAAGCATAGAAATTTTCTTTGCTTGGAAGCTCTTTCACGTGGGATTCAACATTGATATGCAACAATAAATATGATATTTTTAAAATAAAAGTTCACTTTTGTACAGTTGTTGAGTTGCACAACATGGACTAAAGTAATCCCTATAATTAAAGAAAGGAAAGAAAATCAAAATAGGAGAGTGAAAAATAGATTATAGCTTTTATTAATTAATTACTAGATTATGCAAATAAGAGAAGAAGAAGATTTGGTGGCTTGGAGCACTAAAAAGGTTAAGACACACGAATCAAGGGGAAGAGAATGAGATGAAAGACATGGACATAAACTCCAATGTGGAGGAGCAGGGAAGATCGAATGATAAGGTGCGGCAACCAAGGACAGGTTTGTACAAGGAATCTCTTCTAAGCCATATAGGAGATGTTCAAGAAAACGATGAGGTATTAAAAGATATAGAGCACATGCCTAATCTTGAGCATAAGTGGTACGAGGTGGAGGAGGATGATGATGAGCTACCTAATGATTTTGATCCTTGCCCTATGATACCGATCACTAAGGAGGAATACAAGGAACGGTGCAAACCATGGCGGTCAGTCCTTATTGTCAAGGTGTTAGGCAAAAGGGTTAGCTTGCACATGAAGGAAAGCTCTATTGGAATCATCGATATGAGTTAAGACTATTTTCTTGTACATTTCTCTTGTGAAGAAGACTATAATCATGTTCTATTTGAAGGTCCTTGGATGATGGCAGATCATTATCTCGTAGTGCAAAGATGTAGACCATTTTTTCTGGCAGGGGACAAGGCAATCAGTAAATTGGCTGTTTCGATACGAATCCCAAATTTACCTATGGAACTCTACAGTCATAGGTTCCTCTGAAGGGTAGGTCCAAAGTTGGAAAAATGTTTAAGGTTGATCGGTTGACATCAATTCACTCTCGTGGAAGGTTTGGTAGAATTTGTATAGAAATTGACCTTACCAAAAGACTAGTGCCTAAGATTAAAGTCATGGGCCATGAGCTGCACCTAGAGTATGAAGGCCTACATCAGATATGCTTCAATTATAGATGTTATGGGCATCGGATAGACATATGTATAGATGGTCATATAACTAAAGAGAGCACTCAGTGGATGGTACATACTATTGCCATGAAAGAGAAGATTGATACTGACCCACGTACAGAGACGATGATCGTGAATAGGGCTAATGTCAGCGTATCCCCATCAGAATCCCATACTCTGTATTTAGGGGAGCATACTGCGCAAACTCATAATGTAACAGCCCCAGTTTTTGGTCCGCAGATGCTTGTTAAAGGCCGATTAGGCGATATCAAGATAAAAACAAGATATCTAAAAATAGGAAAAATCAATTAGGTGAGATCTTTGGGCAAGAAATTCGCGTGGGAAATTACGTATGAAAATAGAACAAGGATCTCGATTTGCTATTCTCGAGAAAGACAAGATTGATAATGATTGCGTTTATGATGCAATGAATCCTAGGTATATGGAATAATCAATTCTGGAAGCAACCTATTATGAAGTACCAAGGATAAAAAAAAATATGAATCCCAAAAGTGGCAAAAACACACAGACATCCAAACATAGGGGAAGCCCACAAAATAGCCCATCTAGTGCAACAAACCAAATAACAATTAGGGAAAAGGCCACTAAGCCCCTGCAAAAAAATAACATTGCTCCTGAAGCCTATAAAGATAAAATTCAGCATCCAAAAGAGAAATGTGATCTAGACCAGGAATTTATTCTCCAGAGCATGAATCATATAGTTCACAAGCAATGGAATCAATTCCAAGCAAGCAAGCAAAAAGAGGACGTTCCCCACGTTGCAGTGCATGATAGAACTTTCTGTTTTATGCTACTTGGCTAACTCACCCAGAATTTTCTAAGGTTGTAGCGGAGCATTGGAATCACGAGATGGATTGGAATACCAATGTTCTTAATTTTCAACTTTTGCTCAAAAGGTGGAATAAGAAAATCTTTGGTACCATCTTTCACAAGAAGAAAATTATTCTTAGAAGACTAAACAGGATTGCCCAAAAGTTAACTAAAGATCATAATCAATATCTTGAAAATCTTCAACAGGAGCTGTGGAAAGAATATGAGGACATTCTGTTTCAAGAAGAAGTTCTATGGTCTCAAAAATCACGTTGTAAATGGTTGCAATTTGGTGATAGGAATATGCGGTATTTTCATGGAACAACCATTGTTAGGCACAAGAGAAATAGAGTCGAGGCCCTCCAAAACCAGAACAGGGAATGGATAACAGACCCAAATATTTTGGAAAGCATGACCATATCATTTTTCCAAGATTTATACACTGATGACACTAACTATGAATCATACATTCTACAAAACAACTTTTCTGTTTTGGATAATGAGGACATTATAAGCCTCCAATATTTAATCTATAATCAAGAAATCAAGAAAGCTATCTTTGACATAGGCAGTTTCAAGGCACCGGGATGGTTTCCAAGCCATTTTTTACTAGAGCCAATGGGACTGGGTAGGAGAAGATCTATGTAGGTCAGTTAAAGACATATATAACCATTCAGATAAGATCTCTAGTATTAATGAGATCCTAATCACTCTTATTCTGAAAGTAGAGCAAGTTGTTAGCTTAAAAGAATACAGGCCCATAAGTCTTTGTAATGTATCTTATAAAGTGATCACCAAAGTCCTTGCATCTAGACTAAAGACTTGCACGGGGAAATTAGTTGCACCTACACAATGTAGTTTTGCTCATAGTCGCCATAGTTCAGATAACATAATTATTGTTCAAGAGGTTATCCACTTCATGTAGCTGAAGAAAGGGAAGAACGGGAAGAAAGGATGGATGGCCATCAAGATTGATCTTAAAAAAGCCTATGACAGAATCAAATGGAGTTTTGTTTGTGACACTTTGGTAGATATTGGGTTTTCAGATGAATTCGTGAGGCTTGTACGACATTGTATATCATCCTCAACTATAACAATTCTCTGGAATGGTGAAGCTCTAGACCCTTTTACTCCATCATGTGGGATTCGACAAGGTGATCCATTATCACCATACATTTTTGTGTTGTGCATTGAAAGACTCTCCCACCTCATTAATGCTGTAGTGGATCATAATTTTTGGAAACCTGTCCAACTAGCTAGAGATAGTCCAAAATTGTCTCACTTGAGTTTTCCAGATGACCTCATGCTTTTTGCGGAGGCTGATATGAGCCAGGTAGCTGTGATAAAGCAATGCCTTGATTCCTTTTGCAAAAGCTCGAAGGCAAAAAGTGAGCAATGAGAAGACTCGCATCTTCTTCTCTCAAAATGTTAATCACATGATAAGAGAAGATATTAGTAGAGAGTTTAATTTTTCAAGAACAGATAATCTAGAGAAATATCTGGTTGTCTTGCTATTGTATAATAAGACCACTAGATCCACTTATAAGGGAATCCTGGAGAAAGTAGTGTCACGGCTAAACTCTTGGAAAACTTCCTCCCTCTCATTTGCAGGTTGGTTGACCCTTGTTAACTTAATTATTTCAGCTTTGCCTAGCTATACCATGCAAACAACCATGCTTCCTCAGGCCAATTGTGAAGAACTTGATAAATATTGCAGGGGCTTCTTATGGGGAGACATCCAAGAGAAGAGAAATGTCCACTTGGTTGGTTGGAACTCAGTTTGTAAACCAAAAGTTGTGGGAGGTTTAGGTTAGCGACACTCTAAACATATGAATTCTGCATTTATGATAAAAGTTGGTTGGGGTCTAATACAGAACAAAGATGAGCTCTGGACTAAGGTAGTAGCATATTGCCTATTGTAAATAGAAAACAAAAAGAGTCCAACTTATAGCGTAGTGTGTGCTCAACCTAGAAGGTTGTGATTGACAACCTTGTATGCAGAATTGGCAATGGAAATAACATCAAATTCTGGTGCCATAATTGGGTATCAAATGTTGGGCCTTTGGAGAATGTAGCTTTGCATCTAATTTTGCATAGTGACAAGGAGGCTAATCTAAATGAGATCTTGTTAGTCTAAAGAGCATGGGACCTGCAAAAGTTACAGTTAAGTCTCCTCCAACATATTTGTGAGGTGATTATGGGGATAGCTCTACCATCTCCTTGGAATGGTCCAGATAAATGGTCATTTTTCTATCAAATTTGCTTACTTAGCCATTGTGGGGCAACAAGAGCAACAAGTAATTTTGTTTAAAAGCATATGAAATTGGCAGGGTCCTCAAAGAGTCAGAACTTTTCTTTGGTTAGTAGCGAAGAATGCCCTTCTCACTAATCAAAATAGGCTCAACGACATATGACAATAAATGCTTCTTACACTCAATGCTTTGAACAAGTTGAATCAATAATGCACGTAATACGGGACTATGAGAAGGCATTGGAAGTTTGGAAGAGCCTCATGCCTACAATTGCTTTGCAAACTTTTCTGTCTATGGATAGATTGCAGTGTATTAGTCATAATCTTATTCATGGTTGGGGGCAATATACAGCTCAGGAATGGGCGATTATTTTTGAAAGTACTATCTTGCTACTATGGCAGCATAGAAACAAATTTATATTTGAGGGAAAAATGGTTATCAAGCAAGGCATTGTTAGACAAGTTTGGGCTAAAGTTGCTAAGAATTTAAAATTTTTTTAGATCAATCGTTCACTGGATCCAAAGAGAGATATCTCCCAACCTTACGTCAATTAGTGCCCCCCCTCCTCATGGTTGGATGAAGTTGAATTCAGACGATTCAGTTATTACTCAGAATGAAAATGTTGTTTGTGGTGGTGTTTTGCGGGACAGTGAGAGAAAGTTTATTTCTGCTTATGCAGTGAACTTGGGGAACTATA